GTTTCTTTCGCAAATGTATATCTATCAATATACTAATAAATAAAGAAATGATGTTTACCTACCGGAAAAAAAAAAAATAAATAAATAAATTGCTTTTAATTTAATTATTTATATATAGTTCATTTATTTACACAAAAGAATTGATTAGAGAATTATTTGTTACACTTAAAATAATTATTAAAAAAAATTTGCATTTGTAAAAGAAAAGCAAAATTAATCAAAATATTATTAAGGTAATTATTTTTGAGATTCTAATAAATGTTATTTCATTAATCTTTTCACAAATAATTATTTAAAATTTTAAAAAAGTTTTGAAACTTAGTTTTAAGTTATGGTACTTTGAATTTGTATTACTATTTATAATTACTGTATATGGATATTTTAAAAATTCTTGGAAAAAAAATATTAAATAGAAAATATAATTAAAAATAATAAATGAAAATAAATAGAAATAAAATATAATAGTATTTATATAAAGTTAATAAAAATTTTAAAAATTTTAATAACAGTAGAATAGAATAAAAAAGAAAAATATCTAATTATTTAATAAAAAAACCTTTACTTAATTAAAAATATCAAACTTGTAATTATATAATAACTTAATTAATAAACTTATCTTTCTTATTTGTAGTTTGATAACTATATAGTAAATTATCAAAGATTAAAATCAAGTTAAAATAAAATTAATTAAAGATGTTATAAAACAAGGTTGCGATATTCAAGAAATAAATAAAAACTTGACAAGTTTAATTTTATTATAAGATAAGATTTGACTTTAGATTAATAACAGACTTGCTGATAGTGATAATACTGTTTAAACTGATTTTTTAATATAGCAATAATAATAACTATTCTAATAATAAATAATATTAATAATATTCTATTATTTATATTAATAAAAATTATATCTTTAAAATCAATGCTGATGCAAGAACTAAACAATTGGTTTTTTTTACAATATTTTTTTTGTTTATATAAATTTTATAGTTTAAGTAACTTGGTTTTAGTTTTAATAATTTATATTATTGTAGTTCTAGTTTATTTTTCTTTTTAATTTTCTTTATATCCAATTAAAAATTTTAAATAAGTAAGTATAATCACTATTTAATTATATTTAACATATATAGTATTGTTGTTTTTTTTTTTTAGGTAAACATCATTTCTTTATTTGGTTTGTATATGTCAAAATATATATTATGAAAGAAACAATATCTCTTATATGCAAGTATAATAAGTTAAATGCTAACTTGCTTACAATAATCATTTGACATACTGAGCAGCTATAAATACCTACTCAGTATTAAAAGAAGAGGTGTTGGGTAATAATGATATTAATTTTTAAATACATTTAGGATAATTATATTTATATTGGATAAATATATTATTAACTATATTAAGTAGACCAATTATAACTTTTTCAGGAGGAATAATAGTTAATTGGATTTTGGTTTAAGAGTTGTGATTGTTAAATGGTTTAAAAGAATGAGGTGGTGTGAAAGGTTTATTAAAGTTCCATTTAATTCCAGTAAATGGTAATGTGTTGACTGTAAAACAGTGTAATTTCTAAATAAGATTATATAATTGGGTTATAGCTTTATTAGCTGCTTTGACCCAATTGAAGAAATTTGTTATAAAAAAGATTTTATCTATAAAGCTACAGGATAATTCAACTACTTGTTATATATGTGAGATTGACATTTAATTGCTGTTTGGATGGAGAATTTGATTGATATTTTTAATTATTTGATCAGCTTCAATGGAGGTCTCAGGACATTTGAAGATGTAATGAATATTCTCAGTACAGAGTTCACATCTTGGGCACCAAGTGTCTAGGACATATATAATATTGTTTTAAAATCTTTTTTGATATTAAATATAGATATATAGGCAAGTTAACATTTAACTTGTTGTATACTTTATATCCAAGAGATATTTTTTCTTTCACAATATATATAACTTTATAAGTATAATACTATAAATAAAGAAATAATGTTTATTATCGAAAAAAAATTAATTGAATTATTATTTATTAAGTTGTAATAATAACAAAAAAAAAATTTTTGTTTCACTTAACATTAAAAAAAATTTTTTTAAAAAATCTATTTTTAGAATTTCTGATTTTCTCTTGTCATTATCTGACCTTAATAACCATTTTCGTTATATAAAAAACAATGAGTTCACACGTTTCTTTCACCTTCCTCACTCACTTCTACATCCCTCTACTTTGACTAAAAAAAGGTCAACTCGAACGATGGCGGACGTAGTTAAGGATTTTATACAAAAGCAGATTCAAAATATTTTGCAGAGAATTACCGGTCTTGTTAACTGAAGAAAAGTTTCGTAGGGGGTCTAGCTACAACACTTGCAAAATTCATTGAAAGCCTAGTTCAAAAATTATGAAGCTTCTCGACAAATAAACGGTGGAGGAACTGAAAGAAGTACTTCATAAATGTAAAGTGAATGGGGAAGAAATTACAGATATTAAACAATTTAATCCGGATATATCAACAAATAATAGTTGTTTTCGAAAAAATCGATGATAATGAGAAGCGCTCAATCAATGCATAAATGACATAGCTACTTGTTGTGAATATCTCTTGAAGACATACCAAGGAAGAAAAACTTTGCATATATTTACAAAAAGATGTTAAGCATTAGGTTGGGTAGATTATGCAATCAAGGGAAAAGATCTTGTGTATCGCAGAGCAAAACCTCGTAATGTTAAAATTGGTTATTTGCAGAATATTAAACAACTAGAAAGTGCATATCACACAAATAAAAATAAGAGAAAATGAACCGCAAAACAAGCTTTAATGATGAATGACTATCTTTATGGGATCGTTTCTACAGGTATTTCATTTTTGATCCGCATATTATATTTTAAAAATGAGTAAAGTTTATATAGTATCTCAAATTCCATTTCTAGCGATGAATATTAAATAAACCTTTCAAAAACGGCAATCAGAAAATATTGACACACGAATAATTGAGATAATTATGAAGTTATTAAAGAGGATATCGGCAACCAATGAACCTGAAGGTAAAAGGAAATGTGTACGAGAAAAAATAAAACAGTAAATATATTCATATTCATGTTTTATATATGCACTGTATAGAGTCTGACTCATTTTATTTGTATCAATAAATAAAGTATACGTATATTCTGATTTTTTTCAGTATATTAATATCGATGTTAAAATTGTAACGCATATATGATTCACGTAAGGAAATTGTATATGGTAAAAAATTCCGTGAAGATCTTTTAATAAGGCAAATAAAACTGTAATTATATATTACTAACCATTATTATGAATAATACAAGTAAAGGTCATGTATCTTGCCGTAATGAAGCAGAATTTTTTTTTACTATTATTTTTCTAGTGTGGGTGTATCTTGCTGTTGTGAAGCGGAATTTTCGTTCTTTTTACTATTATTTTTTTTTGCACGTTCTGGTGTGGGTTTGATTTCAGATTTATATACACCTTTATCCCCTGTTGATTTTTTTACCGACTTGACTGTCTTCAAGACATCTTTCTGCAATGATAACCAACATTATCAGTATCCTATTAAAGAAACTTTGATACTCGTCAATTTGATTTGTTACCTGAAAATTCATAAGAATTGCCATATCCGTTGCAAATTGTTCCATATCGTCGAAGCTGTTGGGAAGCTTGATGCACGCGAATTCATCATACAAATATATTGATGGAAGTGGTCGCACCATAAATCGTATGCGAATTTCTCCATCTAAGAGTCATGTGAAAAACATGCATATGAAAAGAATTTTTTTGCTATGCTATGATACTTACTCGCACAATGAACCGTGTACACACGAGCTTTTTCAGAAGGTACGGTGTCAAGTAGTTTGTTTAATATTCGCATGGCGTTTCGGCCGAGTTTTACCTTGTCGTCAACATCCTTGGTATCGGGGGACTTTATACCCTTTGAAAACTCAACAATTCCTATTACTCGATGATTCTCTTTCTTTACATTGAGAACCCCAAAAAGTAATATATGAAAAGGAACAGTTATTGGAATTAGATGATGATTATATAATTGATCAGGAGGTAATTTAATTCGACTTTCGCTACATTCTGTGTACAATTAATACACTCACTGCTATTCAACCTTCCAGAAAGTGAATAATTGCTGTATTAATGATCATGAGGTAATTTGGTTTTTGCTTCATTCCGCATGTCACAATTATACTCACTATTGTTCAACCTTCCAGGAATTGAGAAATTTAAGCCCCGATAATGCATCGATTCGGATCTCCTTGCTTGATATACTCCTTAAATGCCGATCCAAAGATCTTGAATTGGGAAAAACAATTATGAATTCGAATTTTTTGAATGATATAATCGATATGACGGATGCCAGCATGAAGCAATGTATACAATTGAGGTTGAATGAAGGACAACGATTATGGCTCAATCAAATACTGGAAAAACAATCATGGGATCAAACGAGTGAATTCAAAGATTTTTTGTAGTCAATTTACTGAAGATTGTTGTAATCGTGTTCAAGTCCCATCTTTTGTAAGAAAATC